GAAAATGCATAAATTTCAAGAGAAAATAGTTAAAATTCCAAGAGAAAGTAGTTCAAACTCAGAGAGAAAATAGACCAGTTTCAAGGAGAAAACGGTCCAGGTCCAAAGAGAAAATAGACCAGTTTCAACGAGAAAACGGTCCAGGTCCAAAGAGAAAATAGTTCAAACCCAAAGAGAAAATAGGTTAAATTCGAAGAGAAAGTAGTTCAGACTCAGAGAGAAAATAGGTCAGTTTCAAGAAGAAAACGCATCAATTTCAAGAGAAAATAATTCAAACGTAGAGAGAAAATAGATCATTTTCGTTCCATAGCTATATGACCTAGCCTTTCGAATTCAGAATATGCGAGATTTTTATAGATGCTGTTCTAGTGATGTGAAATGCACATGAGCCGACTGATTTCAAAATTTTTCTTCCAGTTTACAGATTAATCTAAATATGTGAAAGACACTATTTGTACTAAGTCTCTAGTGTCTTTTAAAAAATATTTTAGTTTAATACGTCGGGTGTCCCAAAATATTTCCAACATAGTTTGTTTTCGGAATGTTCCTGCAGAGAAAATAATAAAACCTTACTTTTTTTCAAAAGGTGCTTCAGAAAAAGCTTTGGAAAAACTGTATGAACAAATCCTATTGACTTGTTCTGATGATTCTTCCGTACTCAAAATAAAAAACATGTATGATAGTGCTACTTGTTACTGTATTTAACATAATAAAAATATTTGGAATACCTTTTTCTTTTGCAATAGATATTTATTTAGACAGCTTTTGTAGAACTTTCTACGCTGTGTCTTTTGAAAACAACAAGATGCTATCGTTTTCTAAAGCTGGGATACATGCAAAGCAAAAGTCTTGGAAAAATGTTTATCATGTTAAATTGTGTGGAAGTAGCACTATCATGTATTTTTTATTGTGATTATGAAAGAATTATCAGAACAAGTCAATAGGGATCTATTCCTATAGGCTTTATGGGAGCTTTTCACGAATCATCTTTTAAAAGAAAAATCAAGATTTTACCATTTGTCTGTATAGAGATATGTCGAAAATAAAGTATGTTGGAAAATTAGGGGATGCTCGGTGTATGCACAAAAATGACGATGCTAGTGAGAGTAAAAATAGACAAAATACTAGGCAATTTTTTGAAAGAACACTACTTTAGAAATTATCCATAGGAATTATTTTGCGCAGAAAAAATGAACTTGTTTCCCATCGATGTGACTTTTTTGCAGCAATTTATCAACACAAAAAATAGCGAAGAAAATATTGTTCAAGTTGGTAACGAGATTTTCAAAGATCACCACTGGAAATATATTTCACTATAAAAAAAAATCTATGCAAAGACCCGTTTCTCTCTACTTTTGGGAGACTTTCTCCCTTAATTTTTCCCCCATCATAGCAAAACCAAACGAAAGCTATGCACATGGCATTTCATGTTCTAATCTCTACAGACATTTTATTAAAAGCAACAGCATATGCCATAAGATGTAGCGTGAAACGCTCTACAATCTACATTGTAAAGGTTATTTCAATTGTGTACTTTTTGTTTTCAAAAAAAGCAAAATTCTACACGATCGATTTTCGCAACCTTAAAAATTAGTCGCACAAAGTTTTGCTTTTTTTTGGAACCAAAAAATACACAATCGAAATAAGCTTTACTATCTAGATTGTAGAGCTTTTTACGCTGCATCTTGTGGTATATGTTGTTTTGTAATAAAACATATTTCGAGATTAAAATATTAGATGCGAATTGCGACCATTTATTCTGAGTCACACGTTACTTTCTATGAAAATCGAATCGATTCGAAAGGGTTAAGTTGTACCCAACCTGTCTATTATAAATCGATGTCTTCTCACCTGTAATAACATTACATAATCGCTGTGGTCCATCACAAAATTTCGCCAAATTTTCACGGCAAATTCTAACTCGTTCTTGTTCATCATTGAGTTAAGAATACACCTAACATGATGTAACTTTTCTCGTGTTTAGACAATTGTAGATAATTCGTCCTATAGTATCATGAGAAAGGGGTAAGCTTCAGCTATAATATCATTATAAGTTGAATGTGATTTATTGTTGATAACCTGTCATATGAGCTCAATATTTACATTTGTAAGCTTGGCAACCAGATGATCAAATCAAAGATCATTATTGACATCTTCTCCTCCTTCATGACAACACTTTGTCTACCTTGCGATTGTTGGATATGATGAAGCACTAGATTTCAATACTGTTATATATTCTTCGTGAAAGTTTTATTTTGGTAGGAACTGGATTACATCTGAAAGAATATCAAAACTAAGCTCAAAAAACGATTTATTATATACATATATGTTATTATAGACAAGAGATTTTACTATTTATTCATATAACAAACTGTTTAATATTAGCTAGTTGATTAATTGACAGCAATGCGATCAGAACTTTTGATCAGACCTATGTAAGTTGTCATCGATATAGTAATTTCTTTAGTTATCAGTATTTTATTCACTATGGGGTCGACGGTGTGGCTTCCCTGGAAAGATCAGGTTGATTCTCTTGGAGTTTGTGGTTACTGTGTACCACATACCATGTATCGATGTCCTCAAAAAATAACTGTTCGTCCTTTCAAAGTTTTAAATCACCCCATCGAAAGCGTGATACTAATATAGAAATCTTTTATTTTTATATTTAACTATAGATATATGTTAATTTTCGTTCAAAACTATGTTAAGGAAGTGATGATATAAAAAATAAGGATGATAAATGACTTTTAGAAATAAATAATGTTGTTACAAAGATTCTTAGATTATTCTATAAGTATTATTGTCAATTACGGTTTAGAACGGAGAGCATTTTCATTCATTTTCCTATGTAAGAACTATTATCTTTACAAATTAATTTTGTTCATGATTCAATTTACTGATATACTTTTGTCTTAACTTATGCATATCGCGAAAATAAATAATATAAATGAAAAATTTTTTTACAGTAATTTAGAAAAAAAAATTCTTTTTCCTTGACAACATTTTATTCTACCCTTTATTAATGTCATACATTGAAATAGAACATAATGAACACACTGGATGGTTTTGTAATAATGATCTTATTCTTATTTGTGATCAAGAAACATTCATTAATGATACAAATAGTCCATTTATGGACGATAATAAACTTCAATCAATATATTCAACACATATAACTCGAAAATGTCGTCGTCATATTCCAAAACTTGATTTTAATGATAAAAAATTATTTCCATATATATCAAATAAAACTACACGTACAACAATAACAAATATATCTTCAAATGAAATAAATATTGATGAAGAACTTCTATCAGAATTAAATTCAATGTTAGATTGTCGTGAATATGTTAGTAAACAAAATCATTTTTTTGATCGAAAACAATTTCAACAAGCTCAAGCAGCACAAGCTGATGAAGAAAAAAAATTAGAAGAATTTAAAAAACGTCAACAAGAACAAAATAAAATTGAAAGACAACAACGAAGACGACAACATCCATTATATGTTAGTCGATTTGATGAAAAACGTTATGTACCATCAATAAGAAAAAAATTATATAAATTTGATAATTAAAAAATTATATTTGTTTATAAATTTTTCATAATTTATCAATTTCAAAAGAACAAATATTAAAAAAAAGAATTTAATTTATTTCATAAGCATACTAAATTTATCATTAAGATATTCTCTAAAAACGAATAAAATTCCAATAAAATAATTTTAGATCTTGATTGTAAAAATAGGCATGTACCGAGCGAGCTTTTTTTGCGTTATTTTCGAACACTTTATATCAACAGCTTGAGTTGTGAGATAAATGGCTGAATTATATAATTTAGACTATCAAAAGATAGAGAAAATGCTACCGATATCAAATGAGATGTACTCGAGCTCTGTGCAATAATTCATTTGATTTTTATGAGAAATTTACAAACTGAGTCTAGACTTGGGACTCTGTTGAGACATTTTTTTTTATAATGCAAATAAAAATTAAAATAATTGAAGCACAGCGCTCTAAGACGCTCTCATTTTGTAGAGCAACATTTTGCCTATATTTTAATAGGTTATACTACATAATTCAGCCTTCTATTTCATAACTCAACCTATTAATATAAAAGTGTTCGAGAATAACGAAAAAAAGCTCGGTACATGCCTAATTGTGAACATAGGCTGACGCAAAAAAATCACCTGAAATTGTATGATTATTAAAGAAAGTATTCTATTATACGGCTTAGAAGAACAGAGAAACATAAACAAAATACTTAAATTTTATCGTCCTGTCCTTTTATTGACAGAAAAAGAAATGAATAAAACTGTGTTGAAAAAAGAAGCCTTGATAATTAATACTGGTAGAAACACTACTTTTTACAAATTTTAGAATTTCAAAGGAGATTCGGATAGAATATCAGATGTCTTAGCGTTTTTTTTTTATCAAAATGATGTACATGTTCATCTAACAGAATATACAATTAATCAACTTTGATTTTTATTAACAGTCGAACATAGTTTAATTGCTCAAGTTACATAAACCTATAGGTCTTTTTTTACTATCATTAAAAGCTTAAAACATTTCATAACAAAGAAATAATTGTCAAAAAAAAACAGACACCATCAAAATTGGATCTACTATTCTACTATAAAAAAAAGTATCCTGTACAAAAAATATGTATTATGATTAGAAGCTATAAAAATTAGCTTATTAGAAAAGTATTTATTTTATTAATTGATTAAATAATACTAAACAATATCGATTATATAATCCATTTGAAATAGATTTTTTTTCTGTATATGTTTACTGATAAGACAGATTGATGTTGTTTTTTTTTAAAGCATATCGATTATTCAAAAATATTTTTAGAATCTATCAGTTTTTATTAGAGATCAATTAAAAACCTTCATTTTGAAAAGTTGAATTTTAAAGTTTTATAATTCTAGAGAGATATTATCAAAACAAACTTGAGATGAAGTTTCATTGACTTCTGTTTTCTCATATATCAGAATTTTAATTAATTAACTTTTTTATTTTTCCTAATTTTTCATTATAATGATACAATTCTTCATTCGGATTTTCTCTTCGTAGATTAGCCCATGATGAAAATCCACTAGTTGATAAGAGTAATGTTTGACATTCGCCTAAAAGATAAAAATCGGCTATGACTTTAACAAATCCATCACATATAGTTGGTGATCGTCGATCAAATCTATCAATATGTAAAATAGGGCCAACAATCGACATCGATGAGTTTGGATAATGACGTAAAATATCTGATACAGCTTGACTACTATCAGATGTAACAAAAATAAGTGATGAAGATTTGTTTAATAAATAATTATCAACAAAGTCTATCATTGATTTTGTTGTATTTTCTCGAGCTGTAAACGCAACATCCAATGGATTAGTTGGATTTTTACCAATACGAATATGCAAACAAATAAGATGTCGATGACGAGAGTTAATTAATATAGAATCAACTCGATTACGAACAGCTATAGAAGGCTTGAAAAGAAGTTCGAAAAGAAAAGCAACAAATATTTGCGTTGTAGCTTGCGATATAGGCATTTGACCAAGTAACTGTTGAGTTTTATTTAACATATAAATATTGTGAAGTGCTGGTGTCATATAATCGCTATTAGCTGATATAAATATATCATCATATGATGACCAAACTTTAACGAAATCGTTCGATTTAATCATATTTGATATATTATTTCGATATGCTTTTTGCCATGAAGGCATCGTATTAATCAGAGATGGGCAAGTCATTTTTTCAAGTCATTTAGAAAAAACCTTTTAATTTTCCTCATCTAAAGAGTGTAAAGCTAATTTCAACGTGGCTAAATTCAGACATGTTCAGGCTACAAAATGATATATTATGGTTAAAGTTTTCTTCCATCAGAAGCACCATAATACCTTTAAAACACTGTGACTTGATGGAAATGACTTGACTTGATCAGGTCAAGTCAAGTCATGGTGTTTTGAACGTATTACGGCGCTTCTGATGGAGAAAAACTTTAACCATAATATATCATTTTGTAGCCTGAACATTTCTGAATTTAGTCACATTGAAATTAGAGTCAAACTCTTTAGATGAGAAAAATTATAAGGCTTTTTCTAAATGACTTGAAAAATGACTTGCCCATCTCTGGTATTAATATACAAACGAGTTCGATTTTTCGATTTATTGTGTTTAACATATGTCCAATTAACAAAATTAGGTTCAACTACTTTTAAAATATCACAAGGATAATTCATATCAATCATAAAATGACGATCAGTTAATAAAGCAAGAATATAAGCAGATATAATACCACGTAATCGATCACCCCAACCACCACAAAATGATGTACAAGAATAAATTATTGTTTTATTTGATAAATGATTCGTTTTAAATGCTGTCAAATTTAATAATAAATTATATTTTTTATATAATCTACTTAGACGTACATTATTTCGAGTTACTAATGTCCATGGTTTTGATATAGTTATTTGAACTTGAGAAATTAATTTTGAATTAATATTAGTCACAAAGAAGATTAGTATCGGTATCCATGAAATACTAATAATAACCATCAGAATAAAACGCCAACTCATGATGGTAATAAAAAAAAATAAATATACGAAAAAAAATGAATGCGTCTATTCTACTTTGCAAAGACAGTAAGATAATTGCAAAACGAGATGAAAATTACATATAACTATGCTTGCAATTCTTTTTTCGTTCGCTCGTGTCATTTATTGTCCAAATACTTTGAAAGAAACTTATTTTATGACATAACTCTTCGTATACGATTGGTTTCTTTTTGCAAAGAAAATACTCTGTACCTGCTTTTGGCACGAATGTATTCTTTTTTTTTATGGAAGTGGCTATGTACACTCGAGTACACATAGCCAGTCAGCTATATGCACTCAAGTAGGTATTATCAACTAGTTACTAAATATTGAGATATATTATAGCCATATATGTACTTCATAATTAACATGAGTAAAATTTATTAATTTATTAATAATTTTACTCTATTTATTTATTGTAAAATTCAAATAGAGTATAAAACAAGTATTAATATCAAATAAATATAAAAGAAAAAGTTAATTCAAATAAAAATCAACTCATTTAGAAATATTTCTAGCGCTTGATCTCTTAGATTTTGAACGAAATGGTTGCATTTTATTATTTTCAATACATCGGACGGCAATTATATTGATGCCAGTGCTTTTCTTCTCTATTAATTGTGCCTTCTTTCTCTATTAATAATTTATAGAACGAAAGATTCTACTTTTTCTTGATTAATTAGCTTACAAAATGGGAAATTGAAAAACATAAAATTCCAATTAGCTTTCAATCTGGAACGAGATATCCTTTTTTCAAGACCCATTGATTAATCCTCACTAAAGAATAAGAATTAAAACAAGATTATAAACTGAGATTCTTTCAAGATGAGAAAAAATAGCTGTCAAAATTAGAGATACAATCAGAAACGAATGTAAAAGAAAATTTTTTCGTTATTCTTTTATAAAAAGATATTTTCGGATGATTAATGTTAGTTATATTGAAAATAACGAAAATACAACGATTTCCTTGAAGAATTTAAGAGAGTAAATGCTAGAAATATTTGTAAATCAGTCGATTTTTTACTTGAATTAACTTTCTCTTTTATATTAGTTTGATTCTAACACTTGCTTTGTATTTTATTTGAATTTAATAAAGAATAAATAGAGCAAAATTGTTAATCAATTGATAAATTTTAATTATAATAATTATAAAGAACATATATGGCTATAATATAACTTAATATTTAGTAATATTTTGATAATACCTACCTGAGTGTACATAGCCAGTCGACTATGTGTACTCAAGTGTACATAGCCAGTCGGCTATGTGCACTCGAGTGCACATAGCCACTTCCTTTTTTTATTTGTTTTAAATACTCATTGAAAAATATTTTGATTATGTTCGGATTATTATTCAACTAAATCAAAATTATAATCGATTTAAAAGGTTTTTAGCGATTCTTAATAATCAAAGCATTTGTCACTAGATAATCCTTTTTGTATAGATAAAGTGAATAACTATACTTGGTAAAGTATAGGTGAAATGTATTTTGCATAGTAAAAAATTCGATCTAATATAATAAGTTTTCTTTTAAACATTTTTAATTTGTAATTGTTGAATTAAGAAGATTTTCATAAGTGACTATTCAATGAAAGAAAAATCAAGTTTTATTGTAGCTAAAAATTGATTCTTCAATGAAAATTCATAATCAAGGTTATATTTCGATGCTGTTCCTAATTATGTACATGTTTTTTATTTTTTACAATTGATTTCCTGTAGACAATAAGATCTTTATTTGCACATTAAAACAACATTCATATTATACCTAAGTGTTCATTTCCTAGGTTATTTTATTGAGTTTTATTTATTAATTGTATAAGTTTTTATTAACTTGTTCAGCAATACTTAAATCATCATAACCTTGAGCATCTTAGATATTAACGCATGATGTCAATAATGATGTTATATTGTTCAAAGTTAGACTATGAGAGATAGAAATTCCTTCCCAGTTAAATGATACTTTTTTGCTCTCACATTTATATTCATCAAGGAATTTGTGAACATGAATGTTTGAGTATGAAAACTATTGCAGAAAAGGCTTCGTTTGCGCTTTTATGAATGATGGAACCATGAAGGAACTCACAGTCAATTCTTGTTTTCTCGAAGAATTATCATAGTTTCGTTGCAAATTTCCTCCACAATTTAGAAATTTCTATGTTTCAGTTCTTGGATATTCCTGCTTTTAAATTTTGTTCAGAAAGTTAATGACAACTTAAATAATTGATAAATAAAATTCCGTAAACTAATCTAGGAAAATCAAATACTTTTACGAATGTTGATTTATGTTGAAATCAAGATTTTGTTGTCTCTAGGAAATCTATCAGAAGAACAAAAAAATAAACAAAACACGAAGTCTGATGATAATGTTCATAATTAGAAACAACATTAAAATATAACCTTGATCATCTTGTTATTATTTGTAAAATATTTATGGATTTAGTATATATAGGAATGTTCGAAGCGAGTTTTCATGATGAATACAGATAAAAACCTAGATTCGACGCAAAACTTTAAGAATTGAATTTGTAATATTCATGAAATCTTATGTCAAACCTAAAAGTTTTGGCATTTTTGTGGGAAATTTTTGTTTATTACATACAATTTAAATTTTATATTGTATCATCAATTATTTCTGTGTTTTGCTAGAAAGACTTTTTTTTTCAGTTTGAGAACTGAAATCAATTTTATTGAAGTTCGACAATATTTTTTTTCTTAGAGTACGTCATACCGATTTGATAGAACTACTAGAATATATCTTTGATATATACCGCATGTAATTTTCCTAATATATTCATTTATTAGTAAAAAATTTTTTTTTTCTGATGTTTATGGATATAACAGCTTATTTTAAGTCTGTCAAACAAAGCTCTAAGAAACTCATAATTGAATACGATGGAAATGTTTTCGCCTATTCAAGATTTCGTCCGTCTGTTATAAGATTCTATACTGATACGCATTTATAATTCATATTCATAAGTAAAATGTTGACAAAGAATAACGCACTCCGGGAAATAGAAGATCCTTCCATATTAACAGTTCCTTGTCTTCTATTGTATCCAAACGATTCAAGTTTTCCGAGTAAAGTTTCGCAGATACTATTAAATTAGTCCTGGTCAGGCACCGTTTGCATATAAAGAATGTTTTTTCAGATATCAAATACGAGGGTGTACAAGAAATCAAAATTATTCCGGTCTAAAAATCTCTTACAGCTACAACTTATCTTAATCCCTGTAGTTTCTTTAAAAGGATGTGAGTGTGAACTTTCTGTCTACCCACATCCGCACATTGACACCCTTAAAGAAACTAAAGGGACCACAGGGAATTAAAATAGTTCTAGGATCAAAAGAAGCAGAGGATGGTGGATAAGAATAGTTAAAAGGAATAAAATATATGAAAATCTACAGAAAAGCTACACCTGGATAAATTTAATTTCTTGTAGGTCTATGATTCTGTAATCATCATATTATCTGGGAACAGGAATTTGAATATTATCATAGATTAACAAATTCATATTTCTTTTGCTCGTAATATTATCATGTCGGGTGAATATGAATCTCTGGATTTTCTCTGTTCGGTAACATCCACACCCACACTCAAGTCATATTAGTAACTTCCCTGATAATAGAAGTTCGCATAAAGTTTGTGAACACTTAGACATTTTAGAATTCCTGAAAACTTCTATTGCGATAAGAGATCTAGTATTGAAGGTAAATCTCATTCACTTTGTTATTGATGATTGCACAGTATAGATTTTGAAAAAAACATTTTCTTTATAAATAAAATCTATGATGAGTATTCATTTACGAATGATCAAATATTAAATGATTTATATCGAATTGAAAATAGCAAATTTAAATATTTTAGAAATCAAAATAGATTAATTCTGTTCGATAAAGTATAATCAACAATGATAATATAATTATAAACAATGAACACATTTTAAATTATTATAAATCTCATTGAATTGTTCGTAAAAAATACAATTTTGTAGAATAACTTTTTACTTCATATCATATAAAGTCTGAGAAAATGTTGAAGTCATACATGTCTCTAATGACATTCTCCGATTCCAATCAAGTAAAACAAAAACATCTTTTATGCTTCTGTTTCATTTAAAAAAAACAAGAACATTCTTGTAGATAAAAAACAGATAGTCAATCATGCAAAAAACAAACCAGACATCAATACATAATATTTGTTTTCGTATTGAATATTGTTTTATAATTAAAATTAGATATATGAAAACGAAATTAGATTAATGATAAACTAAGAATAATTCAAAACAATTGTGGGATTCAGAAAACTCTAAAGAAATTAAGTAAACTTACTGAGCTAGGACAAGTACTTCTGATGACATTCAAATATGTTCATTATAATTCTTATGTTATTTGAAATAAGTCTCTACTCATCAGACTCATTTTTTTAGTCTCATGAAGATCTACAAAGTATTTATATATACTCTTCTTATATGAACTTCATAAAAATTGAAAATTGTGTTCAAATACAGCAGGTACTGGTGAAGTTAAGTACTATTTATAATTGTTTTGCTGCTTATCAATAGATTGAAAGAATTGATGTAGAGTTTTTTTTAGTACAATGAAATACAACGAGTAAAATGGCTCTATTGAATTTGTGTTTAATACAATAGGTAGAGCTGTTATTGAGATAACTATAATTTTCTTTTTCTTTTTAATTAGTATTGAGTGGATAGATACAGTATCAATCTTAAAGACTTACGTATATTGATTTATTTCTTTTTTTGAAGTTTTTAGAAAATTTCAGGTATTTCAATCTGCAACTCCTAAAAAGTATCGGATAACGAAGTCAAAATAGCATCTTTTGAGCCCGAATTTGCTTTATACTAGTCAAAAAATAACTCCTGCATTAGTTTCATCTGTGAAAGTTTATTTCATAGATTTTAATCTTAAATTCAGCTGGCAAACAAATAAAAGTACAGTAAATTTTGATCATTTTCAACAGA